TGACTTTTTATTGAAGGGAAGGTAAATATAGAAATTAAATATAAATTAAATTTCTACTGTGATAGTGATAAAAAACGATCTATATTCTATAAAATATATTGTATTGATTATGAAGACCACCGTGGCGACTAATTTAAAATTATAATTTCATAACTGTTGTTTTAAAAGTAGAAATTCAAAGAAATTTTATCACCAAAATGATAATATAGAATTCACATATTTAGACACCCAAGAAATTTCAGTAGGAAGAAAATTTTGAAGTGGACGAAAAAACAAACAGGAAAAGTGAGGATTTGCACCTGGACTCAAGCAGATGACAATGATTAATCAATATTAAACAATTGTATGGTCTGAGTAGAATAGCTAGAAACATAAAGAAAGATAATCACAAAGACTCATGTTTAGCGTAAAACTCATGCACAGTACCTCTTATATATTACAATTGCATTGATCATATAACAGGTTTGGTGTGGTTGACATATTCTTATACAATCTCCTTTATCTTCACTCAAAACTTTTTATTAATAATCACTCTCTCTCAGAAATTGTGGTCCCTTGACTTCCTTCAGGATCAGGATGATTAATAATAATAAAGATAATTAAAAAATACTAATTTTGTTTGTTTGTTTGTTATTAAGCACAAAGTCACATAACGGACTATCTGTGCTCTGCCCATGGCGGGTATCGAAACCCGATTATTAATGTTATAATTCCTCAGACTTATAACCGAGACACTGGAGGCAAAATATAATACCAATATTGGAGCTAAAATATATTATATAATGTTAAAAAATTATCTGATCTTTGTAATTTTGATATAAGTAAAATTGAGGAATAATTATACTTCACCAACCTAATCCCATTCACAATCTAACAGTTGTTGTCAAACAATTTGCTGATATAAATAAGTACCTCAACTACTACTTTATCTGTTGTATCTCAGCCAATGTGAATAGCACTGGTAGTAAGTGAAAGGCCTCGTTGGCACAGGATATAGCAGATACGGCGTGGTAAATATATTGTTATACTCCTTTTTTATTGTCACATGGAAGTTATTATTTATAATGTGGTATTATCCCAGTACACAGATTTCCTGTAGAGCAATATGTAGGATCTGCATTAGTTCCAGCGAATCTCGTATTATAGAGTACGGGTCTGTTGCATCTATAACCTACGACTGAGTTCGTCAACAAGAAAAAGCCAACATATAAAATGTACCAAACAACTATCTTAACAAAATACAATAAACAACACCTTTACTGGTTCTCTAACACCAGAGGATATGAACAGAGATCTTTATTGGTTCTCTAACACCACTTCATTATGAAGCCTCAAGCAGCCAAAAATAATAAAATAATAAGTTAAATGCAAAACAAAAGTTAGGTCTAAATGAAAACCGACTCATCTCTAAGTAAAGTTATTTTACCCAAAATCTCATAAAAGCTCTAAAGTTTGCCTTACAGGGAGAACCTAAAAACACAATTTTCGAAAAATCTACATGGCTGCTAAAGGGGTAGCAAACACATGGGGCCGTACCATACCACATATTTCTTCCCCTATATTTCCAGGCTAACCCGACTGTCCATAATTCTAAAACAACAACAAAAATGCAAATCAAACTTTAATTATGTGTTGCTCAATAAATTGGAAATACTCGCCCTTTCTCCAATAGAACCACTTACCTAACAACACTATCAAGTACAAGCGCAAAAACAACTTTACAAAACAAGAACATAAATTACTCCCTTTAGTAGGGTTAGTCTAACACATTACACAGTACAAGAAAATAAACCCTTTAATAGGAAAAATAAATATGAATTACACAAAACGAAACTAAAAAACACAACTCTTTAATAAAGCTCACTTGCCACCAACTTTACAGGCATGAACTTGATATTGTGTATCCACCACTCTGCCAAACTATCAGACTGCGCATGATAAGGTGAAGTGCGCATCTTCACCAACCACCTCTCCGTGCACTACGTTTCTGTCTGAATCTCTCCAGGAGTGCTGAAAAAGGCTATTAATTGCACTAACAACACATTAGGAATGGACTGTTCCAGAGTGTTGACCAACAGGTATGCCTCATTCCACTCAGTGAAGTAATCAATGACAACAAGCATATATATATATTGATTACCTCACTTTTTCTCAAGAAGTTGACCGGCAATATCCAAGGCTATTCTCTAGATAGGAGAATCAACTAATTATTTGCCCAAGATTCCTTGTATACTTCGTTTATTTCTCTAGCTGCAAAATTCAAACATGGCTAGTAAAAATCATCGATGGTTATAGCACTAGTGCATGTTCACACCTTGGTGGCATCCAGTCATAGAATTGTGCAAAATATGGATAATTTACCACCTCAGTGCTCTGGGGACCATTAGTTGCAACAAAAGCTGAGAATAACTAGGTGTCTGATAAAAAAATGCGCCTGTAACTGCTCTTACAATTGCTTAAATCTGCATGTACTTGCACTACATTCCTAAACCTTCACTATAAAGTCGTGGTGGAACGTCAGGTATTAGAACTATATTTTGATATTGTTGGACATTCGCTGGCACTGTTATGCTACCGAAAATGAATCACTTTTGGTAAGGTTATGTAACAGCTCATTCCGAGGAAAAGTAATATTCATACAGTCAGACCATAAAAATGTTTCCAGATTGGGAATTTAGAATTTCTAAGACGGGGATATTCTTTGTTCTTAATGGGATTGGAAAACTCAGATATATGAAATAAATTAGGGGCACCAGGACCATCCAGAATGAGAACTACAAGAATTTGTATCCTAGCCATGGTAAGCAAAGTGCAGTGTCTTGTAATAGGCAATAATTCACGGACACAAAAGTAAATGGTAAAATTCGTCTATATGCTCCAGGCAGCAGTATATACCATTATCAAGAATGATCTCCATCTGGAAAAATAATACAAATTACGTGTACATACGTTACTTCAACGACGAATCAGTTCAACTGCAGCATACCTCAAATAGCTGGAGAACGAAGTAGTTATTCATGCTATTCCATAAAAAGACACATTGTTCTAGTCATTGGATGCAGCGCCTACGGATTTTTGTGAAATTGGACTGTTGAGATGGGCATCGAGAAAATGTCTTCCTCTAGCACTGTTTGGATTATGGAAAGCACGGGATGAGGGATATGCTCTGAACACGATAGATTACGACTTACGACAGGCTATTGTCAAGATGTCTGGTCGTCACATAGAGTATTACCATATGTAACGACACGGACTGTAACGATGTGGTGATACTCCAAATTCGTTTTAATATAACGTACTCGAAATCTGTTTATTCACACCATTATATTATAATTTAGGGAACATCATTTTCTGTATCTGTTCAATGAAACAAGTAATATGTTTACATTGATGTAATAATGGTTAAACAATTCAAAAAAGTCATATTTGATCATAAATTTCAAAATGTCCGTAATCAAAGCATGTATTTGTCAAACATTTGGTCTTATAATATCAAAAAGTTCATTTTAAGGTGAATGATATTTGATACATTTATATATAATTGCATGTTAAAATAAATATTAATTAGATGAAATGATGAATCAAATTATCTATATATTTTATCAACTATTTTGTATTTAGTGTAAAGCAACAAAGGCTATATGCTTCCGTCCTTGATTTTGAACTACTGACTAGAGGAAAGGTTGCCACTCACCTTTTACGCTAAGAGATCGTCTGTAACTTTTATAATGTATCCACAGCTTGAAATTAGGATACTATTTTGATGTACCGTACAGATTTAATTTAAAGCAAACTCGTCAGCTCCGAAATTCAAAGCTACTCCATAGGGCCAACACACGCCAATTTTATCAAGATAAATAGGAGAAGAGTAAAATAGGGTTATGACTGAAATTTATATCCAGTTTAATTAACTATGAGGTATGAAAAAAAAACTTTTCAGCATTACTAATATATTAGCATTATTATTCTCTCAGAAGGTCCGGTGCCAGCCTTTTCCAGGTGGGAGAGAGGGGAGAGGTGGGCTAGACAGAATATTGGGAGGATTTTATCGTCAAAATATTAGATCAACTACGAGTTGGACATGCTGAATGGGATGGATATAGCCTTGCCTCCAATCTCCCTCTAGCACTGCCCCTGCCCCCAGCCAAAGTCAAAAGATTAGACTATCTGCGCTTTGTCCACCAAGAGAAATTGAACCCTGAACTTTAGCGTTTAATTCCATAAGCTTATAGATGACTCAATGGGAGACCAAAGTAGAATAATCTTGGTAATTCAGGTTATTAAAAAAGTGCCATACCAGCAAGCCCTTGCCGATTAACGATCTATGGTAAAAGGGCCCGGCATGGCCAGGTGATTAGGGCGCTCGACTCGCAATCTGAGGGTCTCGGGTTCTAGTCCCCGTCACACTAAACATGCTCGACCTTTCAGCCGTTGGGGCGTTATAATGTGACAGTCAATCCCACTATTCGTTGGTAAAAGAGTAGCCCAAGAGTTGGCGGTGGGTGGTGATGACTAGCTGCCTTTCCTCTAGTCTTACACTGCTAAATTAGAGACGACTAGCGTAGATAGCCCTCGTGTAGCTTTGCGCGAAATTCAAAACAAACAAATAGCTGGTAAAGCGCTCATTCGGATGATGTAAGGCCTCGGATACGATTACGAGTGGTGTTGCTTGTTACACAGTAAGCAATACGTTTTAGATTAAATGTTGTAGCTTTCAGTATACCCAGTACTATCTACTTTTGCCTTCGGTATATTAATAAGAAACCAATAGTCAGTTTTTAGATGTTAAATGTAAGAAACTCAAAATTACGATCTTGATAATTTTTTAATATTTCAAAACTATATTTTACTTACAAAATTTTTATTCAAGGATTTATTTATAATAAAAACTGAAAATATATTTTAATTTGTATAGTTGAAAATTTGCGCTTGTTAATTTTAAACATTTAACTTTAAGTTACTATTATTATTATCAGAACAAAGACAGCAGAAAAAATGCGCATGCGTTGTTTTATTGAGCTAAATTACGATTTACAGTCTTAAGTTCATTGTAATTTTTAGTGTCAATGTATTTTGTTTTTGGTTTAACTGTGAGGGACAGCTAAATAAAGATAAAAAGAAGCAGTGCTAGGTTGGTACTCTTGCTTTGTTTAAAGTATAGAAAAACGACTGTAGATTCAATATTGTAAACAGAAAATACATTTAGTTTGTATGCCTAACTAGTACTAGTACCCTTCAGTACTAGGCCTTGTAAGTAGCACTAATAGTGCTATAGACTTGTGAAAGTTAGGCCTAAACTTTAGTTAAATGCCAATATAAGGCTGATCAGGGATAGAGTAGAACACCAAAATGTAAATAACAGTCAACGAAATTACGATCTTTGTTTTGATTAAGTAACTAATTTCAGGATCTGCATAACTTCGTGATTAGCCTTAAGTTTAAGTAACAAGAAAAAAAGGGACCTACCTGAATTTTACTTGGTTTTTTTCTACTTGGGTTGCTTATTGAACTTGAAAGTTGAAACTTGAAGTCACTCAGACCCTGAAATTGGTTACTTATTAAGTTATTTGACAGTAGGATCGTTTCTAGTTCAGGTTGAAACAGTATAACATATAACCCCACCTCTTAGTTTAACGTTGTTTAATAAAAATATATATAAAATGATTTACTTGAAATTTAGAGTAACGTCTTAAACCTTTATAGTTTTAAAAAGTAACATAACTTATATTACCACATGATTTTCCTATTTCTCACTATCTTTCATTACTACTACTACTAGTATTTTCTAACATAAAAGCTGCAGCACCTCAATTTCAGTGTTCCCACAAGCAAATGCACTTATTTAAATTATTTACACCAACTTCAGAGAGATGAAGTTCTTGATTTTCACAAAATGTTAATTAAGCAGAGTTAAATGACCATGCAGTTTCACACTTTTCATGTTTATTACGGAAGCAATAGTTCATAAACAACTACATCATTCCAAATTCAAAGTTGTATTTAGAAAATACACCTTTGCAATTTATTAATACCAAATCAAGAATGATGCATATATTTTCACACAATTTTAAGAATAGTTATTCTACTGTGCAGTTTTCACCATTTCACAATATCTTATTTCAGCAGTTGGATGTCACAAAATAACAGCTACATCACTCCAAATTCAGTGTTTTTTTTTTTTTTTTTACAAATTACACCTATAAAAATTATTAACATATAATTTCAAAAATTTATATACATTATTTTGAAAGTATGAACAAGAGTATTTAATAAACTAACATCTTTGTCATTCCAGATTCAACAGTTACGAGCAAAGTATATATTTAAATTATTAACACCAAATTAATGGAGTTTAGTCCTTGATTTTGACAAAATGCTAAGCACAGTTACATGACTGGCTGCTTAGGACATATCATGGTATGTTCATCAGTTGTTATATTTCATAAACTAGCAGTTAAATCACTGTAGGTTTAACGTGGCATCTAACATAATCAATTATACAGAATATTAACACTAAAGTCGGAGTAAGGCACTCACTAATTTTCATAAAATTTTAAAAATATTTATATCTCAGCTCAGTTTTGATGGTTTCTTCATATTTTAATTTCAACAACTATATTTCATAAACTTAACTGTTGCATCACCCCACAGCCCCTCAGTGGCTCAGCTGTAAATTTGAAGGCCCACAACAATGAAAACTGGGTTTCTTTACCCATGATGGGCACTGCATAAATAATCAATTGTGTAATTTTAGGCTTAACAAACAAGGAAGCAGCACCCCAGATTCAACATTGTCACCAGCTGTGAAATTTTTAATGTGAAAACGGGAATGAAGCATTTGTATATTTTCATAAATTTTAAAAAACTTGTGTTACTTATCAGTTTTGACCATGGGAGGCTTAAATTTTATATTCTGACCTGTCAGTACTTATAGTTGGAGTTTCTAATTGGTTGGCCTCTCTGACGGCCTTAGAAGATAATAGTGAAAGTCAAAAATAAGAGATTGAATGAGTAGATGCATTATGTGACCCACAGAAGTCAATATTAAAATTTATTTAAACATATCCTGTGGTTAACACAATTCGGTATTGTCACGCTGTTTTTACATAATATTTTCTTTGCTTTCAGGACCATGTCCTCAGATGATGGAATGATGCAGCCACCTCCAGGTGGACAGATGCAGCCTTCACCACAGCAAATGCATCAACCTCAACCATCACCACAACAGATGCATCATCCTCAACCATCCCCTCAACAGATGCATCACCCCCAACCTTCACCACAACAGATGCTTCACCCTCAACCATCTCCACAACAAATGCATCAACCTCAACCATCACCACAACAGATGCATCATCCTCAGCCGTCACCACAACAGATGCATCAACCTCAACCATCACCCCAACAGATGCTGCAACCTCAGGCATCACCACAACAACAGCAAGGCTATCCCCCAGATAGTCTACATATGCTTCAGAGAGTAGGAAAATTTTGAATTACTTGATATAAAGCAGTTGGAGTTAAATCAAGGATTTTATTTAGTTAATATAACAAAAGGCTTTTATTTACTTTTAAAGAGGAGTTTTATTGACTTTTGTATTGTAAGTATTAATTATCATTATGTGGTTTCTCGTGAATAAGTATGTTATATCTATTTGTTAGTTTGACTTTCATATGACCTTGATATTTATATAAAAGTATGGCACTATGTATTATTCAAATTATGAGTGTTAATGAATGCTTTTTGTTCTATGTGGTGTTATCTAGTGTGAAATAGGCCTTCAGTGTAATTTAGAGTATAAAATATATTACCAATTTAATAAGACTGTTTAATTCTCTGAACTTGGTGACAATGTAGTAATCTTTATAGATCTTACAAAATATGAATATGTTCTATCCTTCACATTATAATATGAGTAGAATAACTATTAAAATAGTAATATTCCTCCTAATATTCTAGACTATTAATGGTATGGAAGAGAAGGGATTACAAGATCGACCTCGCTATGCTCAGTTAATGGCAATGGCCAACAGAGCGAAGGCGGTTCCCAGTCCAGGTATTCCTTCTTCCCCTGGCCGAGGACCTAGTCCATCAATGGGCCCCTCTCATGGATCAGGTACTCCAAGTCCAATTATGGGACCTCCACATCCTCCTCAAGTTCAAGGTCCAGGAATGAATTCTCAGCCTCAGCAAGCAGCTTCTCCTCACCCAATGGCAGGAGGACCATCACCACAAGTTCTCAGTCCAATGCAACCCAACCAACTTGCCCCATCTCCTCATAGCATGGGACCACCAGCTCCACCAAGTACATCAGTTATGGGCCACATGTCTCCTTCTTCTCAACCCTCTCCCATATCTGCACCAATGATGCAACAACAAGCAGTTTCACCACAGCCTCAAACTCATCAAGCAGGTCATGTCTATCCTCAGTCCTATGGAGGTCCTTCACCATACCAACAGCAAGGTCCACATTTAACCTCAGGCCAGCAGATGAGTATTCAAGGACAATCAGTTGGCCCGGGAACTGTTCAAGGAATGACCGATCAAAATCAACAAGGTCATCCAGGTATTAACAAAAAATTATTTTGTAGCTTACAATTTTTTTTTTTATATATAGTTAGTTATTATAAGGAACGATGAATAACTAGAATGAGTGGGAATATAAACTTTTCTAACAAAGATGTAGTTCTAAAGCCAAAGAAAACATACCTATGTTTCCCAATACATTGAATTCAGATTAAGGTAGGTAGGTACAGTTTAGTTGGTGCATTTTTTTCCTTTTAAATTTTTGTTGAAGTTCAGTTGTTAGAGGAGGTAGATTTTGATACTTTATTTTTGTTGTTACTTCCTGCAAAATATTTCCATGCATCTTTAAATACCTTAAATCTTGCATGTTTCTTTAATATTTGACCTAATGTAATCAAGTAACCTGAAATAAGAATAGTTTAGAAATATGACTACCATAATTTGGAAAATATTGCTTATATCAATGTAAGTTTGGTATAAGAGTGGAAGTTGTGTTTTTACCAGTCATCACTTTTATGTTTTTTTGCAGCTACTTAACCCTATCGCCCTGGGTTTTAGTGTCTTACATTCAAAATTTAATTAAACTACTTTTTATACCTATTAGAATAGCATAAAATCTAAGCTAATAATCCATATTTTAATAATATACAAGATTTAAGTTTTCAATTCTAAAAGGCAATATTTAAAAAAATCCTGAATTTTCATTAGTGTGACCCACATTACACATTTTGTTTTAGCATGTCATCATCCCTATTTTATCCACCACTCCTCAAAAAAGTATGAAATTAAATGTAAAATACTCTCTATAAAATTATTATTGCTCAAACAAACCATAATTTTTATAGCCTTCAATTTTGTTTGGTTACAGAGCTATCGAATAGAAAATGAGACTCCTCCTGTCACATCCCCTCTTTCACAATTCATTGACAGTTCTCTCGTACTTTTCATTATATTTTACGTATAACCAATAGAAAGTCAAGGTTTTCATCTATAAAATGACGTATTGTATAACATTGTATTCTGAACAGAATATCGTCAATTTCATTCGCAGTATAAGATTTGTTCCCTGTTGGAAAGTTAACAACCAGTTTGGATGGATTTGTAATGGGCCTTTGTTGCATAGTTAGAAAGCCAGGAAAATTTTGAGAGGTAAGTGAATTTGTCTACTTTTTGTATGTTATTAGTCTATATTCTTTGGTGCAT